AATTATGTTATTTACTAGTTTCCTGTTCAAAGACGTTGCTATTATCAAGCAAACTAATTTACAAAAGATCATATAGAGTAATATTCACTGTATTTTTAATTTAAAATCTTTATTTTTATTAATCAAAATCAAATACTATTTTATAGTTTATTTATACAAAATTACATAAATTCAATTTCTCAAACATTACATTTTAACTTAAAAAAAAAAAAAAATATACGCTCCAAAGTAATTTGCACATCATCAAAAAACAAGAATTAATAAAAAATATTTTTTTTTAGTGTACATACTTCTTGAATGATTACTTTAGATAACACAAGAGTGAACATTATTCTCATGATTCAACATAAATTAAATAAAATATTTTTATTCCATTTATTCATATAAACATTATGCAAAATAAGTTTCTACTATTATTTATAGATCAATACTATAGACGTCAAAAGATTCAAATTCTACCTTCTAGGTTTAAACTATCAGATTATATAGCTAGAGACATGTATAAGCTTCAATTAAGAAATTTTATACAAGTAACTGAAAAGAATAAAAAAATCCTAAACTTATACATGGATTGGAACTTAATAACTATTCTGATCTTTATAAAATTAAGCGATAATTACAACACCATATGAATTAAATAATAATGGAATCTATCTTGTAAATAAAAAGATAGAATAAATCTTGAAATTGTAAAACATATCAAAGAAAATAAAATAAACTAATGTCATTATTTTTAGGAAAGCAGTGGAATATTTTCTCTAAATAATATTACAGATCTCTTTTGTATAATATTTAGATGAATAAATCAAATATGAAGATTTTCTTATTTGAAGATTGCTTATTTGAATTGATGGTATAATGTATAATTATATGTAAATGCACTAAAATAGTTGCTCAAAAATTATATACACTAAAAAAAATATAAAAAAAAATAAGTTTTTATTAATTTTTTTTGATGATGTGCAAATTATCGTAAAGCATATATATATATATATATTTTATTTAAAACATAATGTTAAAGAAATTACATTTATGAAGTGTTGCGTAAATTGACTTAAAAAAAAAATAATTAACTAATAGATAGTATTAAATTTTTATTAATAAAAATAAAAATTTTAGATTAAATCTTAAATTAAATTTAAATTAAATGAAGTTGGCTCTACATACTTTTTACCAATTTGTTTGTTCATTACTATCAAAGTCATGAAACAGACAATTCAATAAATTAAAGCTTTGCTCTTATTATTTTATTTCTTTATAATCTTATTCTTTTTAACTATCCTCTCACCTTTTATTAATATTCTCATTAATATAAATCTCTTTTAACACTTATATAGATGTTGTAGTTTCACGAAGTGTTTTTCCTTCGGTTTATTTAATGAAATATGCTTTCTTAAAAACATTGACATCTTCATACAAGATTTATTCACCGATTTACCAATATTAACCTTCTTGATTCAAAAAATTATGAACGTTTATTATCATGTACTCTAAAAATTGTATCATTTATCTATTTTGTATAATATTTAAGATATAATATAAGTTAACGTATTTTTTATCTGTGTAGGTTAAATTTATCATTAATTAAAGGCATTATTAATATTTATGAAAATAAAAATTAACGGATGTATAAAAAATATATAGTTAACTATGAAAGCAATAGACATATAAAAAAAAAAAAAATTTTTTTTAATTTTTTTTGTTGAAAATTGAATGACATAGCTGCCAATGAAAAAAATTACTTCGAAGAATGAATTTTACGAGATACTTTTAAAAGAGAATTTTGTATGTACAATAATAAAATTTTTTTGTTTATAATGTTTATAAAATTTAAATTTGTATTTTAATAATTACTTATTCCTATTAACTTAAAATTAATGGACTAGAATTATCAAATATTATTCATAATATTATAAGTAAAATATATTTAAATAAAAATCGACAATTAAATAGGATTTAAATTTCTAATTAAAATAAAAATTTTTATTAAAGTAAATGAATACCTCTTAATAATAATAAATCCTTAATGAATTAGACTATATGAATTTATTTTACTAATTTATAGCATTTAAAATTATATTTTAATTCATTAAACTTTTAGAGAAAACTCCGCATTCTTTTTATTAATTTTTTTTTTTCTTACCCTAGAAAAGTCCTTGAATATTTAATTAATAAATCAGTACAAAGGAAAATTTTCATACATATATATTTACAGTAAAAAAAAATTTTTATATATATTTTTTTGTTGTTTATGGTACATTCGAAGAATAAAAAAAGAGGGTTGCATTTTATTTCAAAGTATTACGCATATTAAAAAAAAATTAATGAATATTTAATAATTATTATTTATTTTTTTTTTGGCTTAACATCTTTTTAAAGAAAAAATAAAAATATTCTTCTTGGGAGCTTGGTTCTATTTAGTGAAAATTTAAAAATGTAATGTTAAATATTGAGTTTACAAAGTGATGTGTAAATTAACTTAATGTATCAATAATAGAGTTATTGTTTTATAAAAATTGTGAAATAATAATATATGTAATAAATTATTTTATAATGAATAAAATTAATAAGATTTTCTCTAAATTCTCTATATTAACTTGTTTGTTCAATACTAGTAAATTTATTTAACAGGAAAATAATAAATCACTAGTTCAATAGCGTTTAATTTATGAGAATATATGTTATTATCATCATTGTCAATTGATTTATTAATTGTCTATTCAATGTCTTTAGGGGGGTATTAATCAAATTATTAATAAAAAAATGTAAAGTAGCCTCTAATAATTTTAAATGTTATAAAAAATTATATTAAAGCTATAAGTTATAATCTTTATTATACAGTTTGTACAACTGAGCATTTATATTTTTTATTAGCTTATTTACCTTAATAAGAATTATCTTTATTCTTATTAAAAACAAAAATTTTCGTCAAATTTGTTTATTGTATATAATATAATTTTTTGAAATAAACTAGTATATTTAAATTAAAGTGGGTAGAAGTCTTTTAAATATATAAAAATTAAATAATAACAAAAAAAAATAGTTTCGTTTATCTTTTACATTTCTAATTTAATTTTTTATTAATTCAAAAATTTATTCCACTAAGTATAATTTTCAATAAAATTTAATAACAGCAAAAATAAGCTAAAATGAATTCTAAAGATATTTTTTAATAAATATCCCTTACAAAAATAGGAAATAAAAAAAAAATCTTTTTTTTAATTAGTCTAGGTTCAAAGTTGTCTAGTTAATTCTTTATAACTTAATATCCAAATATTTATAAAAAGTTATTGATAATTTTATTAAGCATATACTGATAAACATACACATAAATATATATACTAAAGTAAAAGAATTAATGTATTTTTTTTTTTAAAATGAATTATTTTTTTATTGTTGTTGTAGTATTACATAGCAGTAATTAAAATTAATTTTTGAACATAATATGAATTTATAAAAAACGATATAAGCATAATAATTATCATTTAACGAAATCAGAAATTTTAGATACCTATTTAACATAAAATCAATAAAAATATGTTCAATATAAAATGAATAAATTACCTTTTTTATATTATACAGTATAATTATATAAAGAGAATATAATTGTTCGTAATAAATTGAAGTATAATGAATAAGATAAAGAGATACTTTTCTACATTCTATTTATTAGCCTTATTTTTTAAAATGCTATAAAAGTATGTGAATTTCCATTTAATATATCAGTTAATAGAAAATATTGATTCATTTAGTAGTTTTAATATCTATTTTTTATCTTTTGAAACTGGTTTATTCATAGTTCAAAGACTATTATAATACTTTATATAATAAAATTAAAAAAAAGTATGTAAAGAGATATATACTCACTTTATTTATCATAAAATTAATTTAAGAAGATGTATATTTCTTAAATAATTATCTGTTAATAAAATAAATATTTATTTTATATATTGCATTTTTTTTAACCTTTTTCAATAGCTTTCATAAAGCTATAAAAAAGAATTATTACCACAATTTAAAAAAAAAAAATGCAAAATATTTTTATAACTTTTTATTATATTTATCATTCTTATTCATAATTATACCTATATTACATTTTATAAGACATGCATTTTCTTTGTAAGCAATTTTGTGGTTTTTCTGTACCTTCAGAATATTTCTATATATGTCTTTATGTATAATTCTCTACATGTTTATTATCTTTCATATATAGGCAACTTATTTAAATAATCCACTATTATTATATAAAATATCAAAAAGGTCAATATTATAGCTTTTTATTGGTCATTAATCCATAACATAATCATTACAAATATATATATTATTATATCCCAAAATTATATTAAATAATATATTGTATTTGATTATATTTATCATAAAAAATTATATTATGTTATTTTTAAAATTTATACAACGTTGCAACTTAAATATCTATATAAATTTTCATCATTGAATCATAATTTAAATTATGATGAAACTATTGTTATATTTTGTAATTTAAGCTTTTATAAAAATTATATGTTCGTATTTTTAGTAAAACATCATTTAATAATGTCATTTATTACTAGTTTCATGAACAAAATTAACATTTTCTTATCCAAAATAATTACTTATAAGTACATGCATATTTTGTAAAACTTATAATTTTTCTTTTAAAAAAATTTTTAAAGAAATTTTCGAATTACTAATATTAAATATTTAACAATTATATGTTTTAAATTTTAATAATAAATTATAATTCATTTATAGTACGTTGTTATTTTATAATTTTTTAAGTTAAAAATTTTAAAAGCGTTTTTGAATAATTTTTATTTTTATAGTAGAATTAAGATTTATTGCTTATTATATTAAATTTATATATTCAATTTTAATTTTTTAAAAATTTTAAATATCAATTATATCAAAAATAAACAAATTTATATAAATAATGAAAAAATAAAATAACAAAAGTTAAATTTTATTTAAAAATATATATTTCTAGAAAAAACTAAAAAATTAACATGAAAAGTAACACTATATTTAATATTATTAAATTCCCAGGATTCAGTAATCATGTAACTAAAAGTTATTTGACAACAAATATAAAAAATTCAATGATTTGCAATAAAAAACAAAAAATAAGCATATCTTGCTTTTCTAAATTTTTTCTGTTTATGCTCTTAATTATAATATTACAGGGTTTCAACAGTGTAAGATAATAATAATATTTTTAAAATATTACATTTTATTGATATTATATTTATAAAATAATATGTATATTTTTAAATCATTGTTGTTTCATATTATTATTAGTATATATATAAGTTTGAGAATTCTAAAAGAAAATTTGTGGTACCAGCTCATTTAATAAACATAAGAATTTTGTCAGAATCTAATAATGAAAAATTAAAAACAGAACTAAAATTAAAATTATTAGATAGTGATGAACAGAAAGGCAAAGATAAAAATCTTTTGAAAGAAAATCTTAATGATAATAATTTAGATTCAGGCACGAATGTTTATCCTGAAGGAAGTGAAGATATGCTAGATAATAAAAATAAAAGTGAAATTAAAAGAAAGAGTTTTAATAATGGAAAAATTAATATGGCCCTTCGCAGTGTATTGATAGCTTCCCCTTTGCTGATCTTAATGGCATTTTCTCCTTTCAAAAGTAGAACTTCATTATATATCAAGAAAAATTTATTTCTTGTATATTTAGCATACACGGGAGGTATATTATATTCTAATATAATTAGTTATTTAAAAGAAGGAGATAAAGAGACAAATAAAAAAGAACATAAAAAACCTAACTAAAATTAAAATGAAAAAAAAAAAAAAAAAAATAAAACATAGAAAAAAACAATTAATCCATTTGGATGCAAACCGTATTATCAACCTATTTTAAATATTTAAAAAAAATTAATACATTTTTATTTACGTATTATATGTAAAAGCGAAAAATGCACTTATCTAAATATGTATACTAAGGGAAATACACTAAAAAAATATATATATTATATTTTTTGTTGTACATACAAATAATTAAAAAAAAAAAATTATGTAAAAAAATTAATGCACAAATAAATGATATTTTTTGTTTAATTTTATTTATTTTTGTACATATATTTTGTAAAAATTTAAAAATGTAATATGAAATTTTACTTTTTATAGAGTACAATATAAATTAACTTAATAACTAACATAGATGATGTTTAATACAAATTATCAATAAAAAAAATAATTTATTAAATAAATTATTTTATTTTTAATAAAGTTAAGCTATTTCTGCATTCTCTCTACCAATTTTTTTGCTCAACACTATTAATTTCATTGGATATGCAATTAATAAATCTTTTGAAGACGGCAATAGAATTATTTGATGATAACGCAAACAGAACCCATATTGGATTATAATAAAACAATAATGAATAATGATATAGACAAAATTTAGACCTTTTTGAAAAATTAGTAATTTTATATAAATCATACAAGCTTATAAAAAAGAAAGGTGATAAAGTATCAAGAACAAATATACCTAAGGAACTTTATAAGTTTAAGGAAACGTAGTTAAATGATTATATGAAGTGGTTCAAAGAATTTGAGAATTATGTAGTATTGTTAAGATTACCTAAAACACAATCTTGTATGTTAATTAAAATGATATTGCGTAATATCTATTCCACTAAAATAGCATAAGTTTTTTCTAAAAAAGATATAACAAATGTTATTGTTACAAATCAGCTCAGTAAGATTTATGTTCTTAAACATAAAGATAAATATAAAATGTATTACAATCTTATTTATGATAAATCAAAGTATAATATTATAGAAGTGGTCTATAAATAATATTAAAGACATCTTTCGTATAATAATTAGACGAATAAATGGAATATAAATATTTTATTTTGTTCATACTGAATCACAGTTACAGGGTACACCATAAATGTTTACACTAAAAAAGTTATTCAAAAAGTAATTACACTACAAAAAAAAAAAATATAAAAAAAAAAAAAAAGATAATCTTAAAAATAAAATATAATTTTATTATCAATTTTTTTCTTTTTTGATGATATGTAAATTGATATAGAGTTCATGTTTTTTTTTAAATTAAAATATAATATTAAAGAAATTACATTTTTAGATTTTTCTATGAATTATATTAAAAAGAAAATAACTAATAAGTATTATATGTCTTTAATTAACAAAAATAAAGAATTTAAAATTAAAATTTTTATTAAATTAATATTAAATTGAGTTTTTTCTATATTCTCCTTATTAATTCGTTTGTTTGATACTAGCAAACTCATTGAACAAGCAATTAATATATCACTAAATTACACTTCAGTAAACTCATAATTTTTAATTGTTCCTTATTGTTGAAAAATGGATGGAATATTTAATAGCCTTTCATATAATGTTTAAAATTATATTCACTTAAAATGTTACACATATTCAAAGTCAAATAAAGATATTAATATATGCTCAATTAGGATGTGATAAACATAATCCCCTGTATGTTTATGTATTATATTTACTAATTACTTACAACCATATATTTAATATTTTAAATCCAAAATAAATATTAACATTGTTCTCTATAAATAAAAATCTAACAGATATTTTTATTGTGAAGAGTAATTTTTCTTGCTTAGATGAATACGGATATGTTACTTTTGTAAGCTGAATCTCATAATCACAAATAAAATTTAACGCTTATGTAAAGCTTTTTACAAGTAATATAATAATGAGGTCCTTTTTTACAAATAATTCATTATATAAATTAAACTATAAATATGCAAGGAGAAAAAATAATGATATATTTTAATTTTATTTTCACTCTTCTCTTTTATGATATATCATACTATTTATGTAGATGATATTAAATTAGTTTAATAAATATCTATCATAAATATAGGTATTACATTGTAATGGAAAAGGAATATAAAATCAATAACATGAAAATTTTCAATAAATTGGAATTTTATAGACTTTTATGTATTATTATTTATATGTTTTTAATTTTTTTTTTTTGCTTAATAAAAATTTTTATATGTTAAATTATATTAAAAAATCTTAAATCTTTAATTGTTTATATTTACATATTTGCAAATATTTATAATGATAACATGTAAATATAAATAGAGAATAAGATCTTTATGCATAAATAAATAACATTTCTATTAAATGTTTTTTTCCTTATTTTTGTCACTTTAACATTTAAAAAAGATAAAAATAAAGAGATTTCAAAAAATGTTTTACTTTATTTTATTTTGTTATCTTTTGTATTTTCAAAATATTTACTTTTTGTTTGCTGCTATTTTATTGTTTTTCCAAGTATTTAAAGATAGACAAAAGAAGTAAAATAATAATTTATATTTCATCTAAAGTCAAAATTGTTATATGGTGTATATTATTTTTTTTCAACATTCCTTAAATAGATAAAGAGTTTGATTTAATAAAATTACTATAATTAAAAAAAATATTATTTTTATTTGGTTTATTTTTATAGTTATGTCTAAAAATGGGTATTGTTAACTTTTTTAACGTTGATTAGGATTAAATAAATTATAATTAAAGGCTTAAAAATAAATGCAAGAAAAAAAATTATTTTTTTTGACAATAATTTTTTTTTACTTTTATATCATTTACTTTTTTATACGGAAAAATGAAAAGTTTCGATAAGATGTTATATAAAAAAAAGAAGATATTTTTTTATTTGAAAACAATTTCCATAAAAATAGTAAAAATTTTTATTAATCTACTTATTTACTAGTTGAACATTCACACACTTTTATAGCATTTCGAGTAGTAAAGTAAACAAAAAGGTAAAAAAATTTTTATTTATTTTACTTATTTTTATATTATTTAAATATATATTATAATTAATTACTTATAAATTATGCCATTTACATAACATATATTTTTATTTTTAAAATAAATTTTGTTATACCCATACGATTATTTTTTCATGTTTATCTATTTATGTAAACTTAATCCCCTATTTTAAACTTGAATTGAAACATGTAATATAAAATATTGCATATAATATTATGTTTCTTTATGCATCATTATGTACATTATACAAAAATCAAATAATTTTCTCTCGTATAAAAAAAAAATATGTATGTCTTTTTATGAAATAATAAAAAAAAAAATTATCATTCATTTATTAAAAAATATAATATGATATAAGTACTTTTAGTGCGCTCATTATTTAAAATTAATACGCTTTAGTGTGCCTGTTTCAATAAGCTCGTTTTGCTCATAATTCTTATAGTAAAAACATTATATACTATATTCACTTTAAAATTAAAAATATATTAATAATAATATTTACTATACAACTATTTAAGTTCCTTGTAAATTAATTAAGAAAAAACAAAACACTAATTTAAAATATTTTGTTTAAAATGACTGTAGGACAAATATGTAATATATAGTTTATTTCATATTACATAGAATAATATATATAAGGATTACATTTTATTTATAATAACCCTTATAATAAATAAAATAAGTAAAGAAATGTTTACATTCTCTTTATTTAATTAGTTGTTGATTATATCATAAGTCTGATCAATTAATTAATAAATCAAATTAATATTACTTATATTTTTTTTCTTTAATAAATTTTCTTTTTACTATTATATATATTATTAAAAAATTAAAATATTAATTTAGTAGTTCAAATAAAAAATTTCCTGTAAAATTGAATAAGTGTGGCATTCATTAACATTTGAAAAAAAAAATTTTTACTTTTTTTTTTTCTCTTTATAAATAACATAAAAAATTAAAAATACTCACATTACTTGTCCATAGTTTCAAGGTAAAAAACTTCTAAAATAAATATTCGTTTATTCTTTCTATTTTTTATTTTTGATATTTATTAACCAAAACTTTTTAACAAATATCATGGTTCTTTTAATTTCATTTATGTAGTTAAATTTAATTTTTTAAAAAATGTTCTCAAAAAAATTAGATACACTCTTTAATGGACGATTTTTAAAGAAATAAAAAAAAATATAATTAGCTACTCTATATATTTTTTTGCTTAATAAAATTGGGTTAAAAAACAATAAGAAATGTTAAGGGATCTTTCAAAGGGAGTTTTTTTACACTGCATGCAATATTTTATTGATCTCTTTTTCTTAATAAGCTTTAATAGTATTGTCTTATCTTGCATTTTTAAAGCAAAATATATTTACATGTATAAATAAATATATCTCATATTTTTACAATTAATTATCTGTCATTTAAGAGCTTAAATTTTCTTTTTTATTAACTGTATTATTACACTTTACCCATGATTTTTTCAATATTTTATGTTGTAAGTTAAAAAAAAAAAAATTAACGTTGAATTCTCGTAAAATTAAATAATAAAAACTAAGACTCTTTTTATTTAGGTCATAATATATAATAGACTTATTATTCAATACAATTTTGTTTTGTAAATTTATTTTTATACTTGAAAAATAATTTACTAATTTAATATTATTAATCCCATTTTTTTTATTTTTTTAAATTTAAATATATTTATATTGATTTTGTATTTTTTTTTTTTGCATTGACTTTTTTTATAGATATATATTTATATCATTCCTAATAAATAATTAATATAACTGAATAACATTAATAAATTTTCTAGGTTGTTAAAAACATATATTTATATACATATATGATTTTTATTTAAAAATAAAAATATTAACTTTACAACTATTTTGTCCTTTTCTTTTTAGTTTCATATTTTTTATTCAATGCATCCAATCATTTACATTTTAATTTTAATTAATTTTTGTAATAAATCATACACATTT